TGTAACAGAGGCGAAGGAAGCTGCTTCGACCCATTTGGTAAAATAGTCAATGGCGACCAGGATGAAGCGATGTCCATTGGACGTTGTGGGCTTGATCTCTCCAATCATGTCAATGCCCCACATTGCAAATGGCCTAGGAGCTGTTAAAACGTTGAGAGGAACAAGAGGAATATGAATCTTGTCAGCGTAGACTTGACATTTGTGGCAAGTACGGGAATGTTGATGGCAATCAGCTTCCATGGTAGACCAGTAATAGCCTGCCCTTAGAATCTTCTTAGCCATCGTATGTCCGCTCAAGTGGGTGCCAAATGTGCCGCTGTGTATCTCAGTCATGATCAACTCTGCTTCAGCTTTGTCTACACATCGGAGTAAAACACAATCATGGCTGCGCTTATAAAGGATGCCGTTGCTCAGGAAGAACTTGGCAACAAATTTCCTTAGGAACTTTTTGTCATTTACGGAAGCTCCTTTGGGATATTCTCTAGTCTGGAGATACCTTTTGATTTCGTGAAACCAGGGTTGTTCCACTACTTCTTCGGTATTAATCTCGTGACAATGTGCAGGTTCATCCATTCGCTCGATGGTGATTTGGGGAGCCTCATTATCCCAGTTGAGTTTAAACATGGAAGAAATTGTAGCCAGAGCATCTGCTAGCTGATTCTCTTCTCGCGGGAAATGCTCGAAGGTGATATGCTCGAAATGAGGCAACAATGTCACGACATGTTCTTTGTATGGGATAAGGTTAGGATGTTTGGTATCCCACTCTCCTTTGATTTGACTGATAACCAAAGCCGAGTCCCCAAATACGATCAAAGATTTGATCCCCAAGTCTATAGCAGCCTTGAGACCAAAGATGCAAGCTTCATATTCGGCCATGTTGTTGGTACAGTTGAAACAAAGTCGGGCCGTGAAAGGTGTATGGCAACCTTCCAGGGAAATGAGTACCGCACCGATACCGTTTCCAAGTGCATTTGAAGCACCATCAAAGTACAGGGTCCATCGGGATTAATTTTCAGGTCCGTCATACGGTCCGTTACCTTCAATGTTGTCCAAAGTCATGATGTCCTCGTCCGGGAAGTCGAATCTCATGGATTGATAATCTTCGATAGCTTGATGAGCTAGATGGTCAGCTAGTACACTCCCTTTTATAGCTTTTTGGGTAGTATACTGGATGTCATACTCAGTTAGGATCATTTGCCATCTAGCGATTCTTCCAGATAAAGCAGGCTTCTCGAAGATATACTTGATAGGATCCATTTTGGAAATCAACAGAGTGGTATGAGTCAACATATACTGTCTTAGTCGGCGAGCAGCCCATACCAAAGCGCAGCAAGTTTTCTCAAGCAGTGAGTAGAGAGTCTCACAGTCGGTAAACTTTTTGCTGAGGTAATAAATGGCATGCTCTTTTCGACCAGACTCGTCATGTTGGCCTAGTACGCACCCCATTGAGTTATCCAAAACAGTCAGATACATGATCAACGGTCTTCCTTCGACGGGTGGCATTAGAATAGGAGGTTCTAGTAAATACTCCTTGATTTTATCAAAAGCAGCTTGGCAGTCGTCGTTCCACTCGACTACCTGATCTTTCTTCAATAGTTTGAAAATTGGCTCACAGGTAGACGTCAGATGAGAGATGAATCTGGCAATATAGTTCAAGCTCCCCAAGAACCCTCTAACCTCCTTTTCAGTACGGGGGGCAGGCATTTCTTGTATAGCTTTCACTTTTGCTGGATCGACCTCAATGCCTTTGTTGCTGACAATAAATCCTAGAAGTTTACCAGACCTAACTTCAAAAGTGCACTTACTTGGATTCAGCCTGAGTTTGTACTCCTTCAACCTGGAATCAAGGCTTGAAACTTGGTATGGATAAACTTGTGAGTCCAACATGAAGCATGAAAGTCACTTTGGGCACTTTAGGTCAAAACATCTTTGTGCAAACTCAAACCCTAATTTGGGTCAACAATGCAAGGAGGGGTCTTGAGCAGAGCAAACCCTAACTTGATCTTGAGCTCCAAGAGTCTTGTGGTGAGAAAATGTTGATGAAAAGGGAGGGCAAATTTTGGGGTACAACAGGATGCTTCTGACTCTTTGTTGCCTCTGAACTGGACCTTCAGAATCTTGGACACCAGAACTTCCCCCTTCAGAAGATCTTGCTTTAAAGTTCTGACTTTCTCCAGAACCTTGACTGTCTTCAGAGTCTTGAAAATTCCCAGGGTCTGAATCATCATCAGAGTCAGAGCCACTACCTTCAGAAATACCATCTTCAAAAGTTGGATTACCTCTGCCTTCAGAAGTTCCACTTTCAGAATCATGATCATCGTCAAATGCTAAATTTCCTTCAGAAGCTTCTCCTTCAAAAGTTCCACTTTCAGAATCATGATTTCTATCAGAAACATGATCATCTTTAGAAGCTTGTCCTCCAGAGTCTACGTCTTTAGAGTTTTCCCTTCTAGAAGCATGATCACCACCAAATTCTAGATCATCATCAAAATCTGGATCAGAATCAGATTCACCATGTAACTCACCTTCAGAGTTTCTAGAGTCATCATCTCCTGACTCTTCTTCAGAAGCAGAATCTTCTTCAGACTCAGAATCACCTTCGGATTCTAACTTGTCTTCAGCTTCAAAGTCATCTTCTGACTCTAACTTGTCTTCAAAAACCTCAGATTCTGACTTATCTTTAAAATCTTTAGCATCGTCTGATTCTAACTCAGAGTCATATTCTGATTCTGACTCATACAAAATCACTCATTCAGAATCAAAATATTCAGAGTCATATTCTTCTTCCCCTTCAGAATCAGAAAATGACAATTTCATTGGTTCCTCATCAGATTCATAAGCCATAAATAGCACAGGCTCATCATCTGAATCTCCTCTGGCTACATTTCCTTCTTCTGACTTTCTTTCTTTGTTTGACCAGCAATCTTTGGCATAGTGACCAAAGTTCTTTCAACAGTAACACTGAATATTCTTCTTGTTAGACTTCTCCTTTCCTTTCCGGACATTCTTCTTCCTATCAGAGTTTGAAGCTTCTGACCTTTGACCATCATTAGTTTTCTTCCTGGCTTCTGACCAAGTCTGCTTCTGATGCTTCTTACCAGAAGTTACCTTCATAGCCTGCTGCTCTACTTCCCTCTCAGAAGTTCTTGCAGTCATACGCAACTCATGCTTCTAGACTACTTTGCAGCTCTTCAACTCTCATGGTGCTCAGATCTTTGGAATATTTAATTGCTACCACAATGTAAACAAATTGAGAAGTTAAAGATCTCAAGATCTTCTCAATGATTTTTTGTTCAGAAAGGGTTTCTCCACAAGCTTTCATCTCATTAGTGATCAAAATCACTCTAGAGATGTACTCAGAAACCTTCTCGTTGTCCTTCATGTTGAGATTCTCATATTGTTTTTTGAGAGACTAGAGCTTCACCTTCTTCACTGATGTGTCACCATCATAACATCTGACCAGTGTGTCCCATGCAACCTTCATTGTTTCAGAATCAACAATCTTCTCAAACACATTAGCATCCACGCATTGATGGATGTAGAACAACGCCTTCTGATCTTTCTTCCTCAACGCCTTCCGTGCCTCTGTTGCGTCTGCTTCTAACAGATTATAGCCATCGGTGACATGATCTAACACATCTTGAGAACCAAATAACACGTGCATCTGGATTTTCCAGCGATTCCAGTTTTTTCCATCAAATACTGAAAGCTTGGAATGAATATCGTCGCCGTTCCCGTTCATCTTCTACCTTTGAGCAATTTACTCAGAGTTTCCCAAATCAATGTTTCTCAAAAAACCCCAGAATTAGAATATTGTAATTCTTAATCACAATACCTCTTTTCCCCGTAGATTTCGAACCGGAGCTCTGATACCAATTGTTGGTGCACAGGGAAGATAAAAGGCAAAAGGAATATTTACTGACAACTTTAAAATAAGGATTTACAATGAATTACAATAACCTACTTCTCTAGGCTATTTATACACAAAATTAAATCTAAAATATATCTTCTAACAAAGATATAAGAAGATCTAAGATATATATCTTCTAACAAAGATATAAACAATCTAAAAGATATTCCTAAATATAAATTAATATCTAATTAATTATAAAATCTAAATTAATTCTAACAAAAAGCACTATTTTGCAGTTTGACTTAAAAAATTCATAACTTTTGTCTGGAATATTATTTTGGAATGGATCTTTGGGCATTAGAACCGCCTTGACATCCTCTTAAATTCATATATTCGGGTCGGGAACCAATTCTTTGAAGAAGATCTCCGAACTTGGAAATACCCTGAAAATGGTACCCTGAAATGGTTGTCTGATTGATTGTTTCTCGTATGTTGAAAAATTCATAACTTGTGATCGGAAAATTGTCTTTGAGTGGCTCTTTGGAATTAAATCTGTCTTGACATCTTGTACATTTTATATGTTCGGGTCGGAAGCCAATTCTGTGAAGAAGATATCCAAAAGTGCAAATTACCTGCAAACTTCACAGTGAAAAGAATGTTCAGTTGACTGTTTGCTCGATATTCAAAAAATCATAAATTTCTCGTTTCTCAATGTTTTGAGACGACTCTCGAAGCATGATATCAAAAATTTTGTTGGCTACAACTTTACTTCAGGTCCCGAGTCTGAATTGTACTCCAAAGGCTTCTATTTATGGCTCGCTTCTCAAATCGACCAGAGAAAAAGCCGCACAACCAAAATAGAGGTTTTCTGTCTCAAGTTTCTCGCCATTGCGAAATTCATAACTTTCTCGATTTTTATCGTATTGGGGAGATACTTTCGGCATGATGTCACAAATTTCCTTATCAACATTTTTGATTCAAGACCCGAGGTCAAATTCTGCATCGAAAGTTATGAGCTTGCATTTTATTTCTCGAATATACAATATACACAAAAATAAGTTAAAAATTATGCACTACTCATAAACAAGGGAATTTACTATTTTTATATCATTTGTCAAACAAGGTATAAGAGCACTTCTATATATTTATGGGATTCAAATCAAAAGCAATTTTTCATTCATTATTCAAGAAATCACTCAAGAGCACAACAGAAGAATCAAGAGGCTCTCAAGTTCAAACTCTTCTCCCTCTCTCCCAAGAACTCACCGACCGGCCTCCCTCCCCTTCTCCGGCCGACTGCATCGCCTTGCCCAGTTGTCCGCCCTCCTCACTGTCCGGTCAAGTCTTCGCTGGCATACACCCCTGTTCCGGCCTCTCTCTCGGCGATACTCCCTTCATCTTCGCATACTCCCTCCGTTTTCTAATTCCGGTCAAGCTTCCTCCTCTGATCAATTCTTCGCGTCAATTTTGGTATAATTCTTGAGCTCTTGATTTAATTTATAATGCCAAATTTTTCGTGTTTGAATTAATTGGAGTTTGTGTTGTTTAACATGAATTGATTTTTGAATTAAGCTTGAATTAATTTTGAATTGTGAAGACAAGTGATAATTTGATTTAAGCTTGAATTGATTTTGATTGAGGATTTAATTGGTTCATGTTGATGATGAATACAATTGTTGGGATTAGTTGAGCATTTGATTTGATTGTTGAGACTTACGCTTCCAAAATAATTAATTGTTGTTGATTGTTGGATTTATGCATCGTAATTCGATTCTGATTCGATATTTGTTGATATTTGTTTTAATTCACGTATCAGGATCAAATTTCGAGGTGTTTACTTGTTTTTGATGCGTAAATAATTTTGGTTTCGGTTGCTTTGAAGCATTGTGCCTGTACCGTTTTAATGGATGTTTTTGTGAATTTCGGTTGAGTTTTCATGTGTTGATGTTCGGATTTAGTGCATAAAAACTTTGATCTCAAACTAATTTTTGGTGAACATCAACATATGCACCATGGCTGCCCGGAGTTCACAAATATACTGTAAATCATATTTTAATTGTTGCTCGATGCATAAGTGATTTTGTGTTGGTAATTGGTTGATATCGGTATCAATTTTGGTTGATTTAAATTCAACTTTTGGAGTATTTCATGTATTAATTCAATGTTGTCTGAAAAATGGTTTTTGTATGTACATTGTGATTTAATTCTTACTTGTTGCATATTTGAGTTTGTTAGCATATTCGATTGATACGAGTATCAAGTTTGGTTGTTTTTTAAATCAACTTTTTGAGCATTTGTGAAGTATAATATTGCTGCCTCGCTTGTGTTGCACCTCATTTTTCCAGTTATATTTTTCAACTGATTCATACTTCTCGTTTTCCTTCCATCATTCTACACCTCCATATTTGCTTATTCTCTGAGTTAGTTGTTGTTGCTGTTACTGTTAAACCATGAGAAGCTTGGAATCGAGCAGCAATCGTTAGAGAACCGCGAAGCTTGCGTTCCGCTATTTTTTGTTTTGCCCGCGAGAGAGTTTGAGATTTTTGTTTTTGCTGTTTGTGAGGAATAGAGGAGATCGAAAAGGGCTTTTGCAGAGAACAATATGTAGTTGTTGTTATAGTTTGTTGTTCATTCAATTTGAGAAGAAGTAGAAATCGATTGAGAGGGAAATAATCGATTGGAATTTTTTTATCAAAACAGAGGAAATGTTACAATAGACTTTATGTTGGGACTTAACCCGGTTCCTCAATCTGCCTAAGCCCAACCCGTTTTTTATTTATTTTAAAATTCTGTAATTATCCATTTTTTAAATTATTTTATTTTACTGAAATAAATTGTTTTGGGCCTCCAACTTATCAGCTAAGCCCAACGAATTGCCATGCCATCACCCCTATTTTTCTATTTTGCATAACCTTTTATTTTGCTTTTAATATTTTTGTTCTAGTTTTATTAATTAAAGTTTTAAAATCAATTAGATAATCGTGTTTGTTGGTTTTTAATTAGATAATATTTGTTTCTAGCTTTATTAGTCAATTGATTAGATAATAATATAGTTTTTTTTTTAGTTTAACTTTAGACTTAGTAATTTTTAGAATTAACTTATTTATTTTTAGAATTTTAATAATTGTTTATTTTTTAGTTATCAATTTTATAATATTTTGTTTTGTTAATGTTTTAGTTAAATAATCTGTTACATGTATATATGATTCTCTTTGTCTTTTAATTTTTGATTACAAATGGCTCTTCGTATTTGGAAGTCTATTTTTTTTATAGATTACTTTGTGGTAAGATAATGCGCTTTATTACCAAATCACCAACCTGATATACCCGATGCTTGACTTTCTTGTTAAAAGCTTTGATCATCCGCTTCTGGTACATTTGACCATGGCTAACAGTTGCAAGCCTTTTCTCGTTGATCAAGTTTATCTGGTCAAGCCTAGTCTGAATCCATTCATTTTCATCTAGACCCGCGTCTTTCATAATCCTTAGAGAAGGAATCTGGACTTCAACATATAAGACAACCTTCATACCGTAGACCAAAGAGAACGGGGTTGCCCTAGTTGATGTACGTACTGAAGTGCGATAACTATGAAGAGCAAATGGTAACATCTCATGTCAATCTTTGTAGGTCATCGTTATCTTTTGCAAGATCTTCTTGATGTTCTTGTTGGCGGCTTCTACTGCGCCATTTATCTTCAGTCGATACAGAGAAGAATTGTGGTGTTTAATCTTGAACTGCGTGCAGAGTTCAGTTATCATAGTGTTGTTAAGATTGGTACCATTTTTCGTGATGATCCTTTCAGGGATGCCATACCGACAAATAACATTGTATTTAATGAATTTGGCCATAACATTCTTGGTAACAGAAGTAAACGAGACTGCTTCAATCCACTTCGTGAAGTAATCAATAACGACCAGGATGAAATGATGCCCATTTGAAGCAGTAGGCTTAACCTCTCCAATCACATCAGTGCCCCACATTACAAACGGCCAAAGAGTAGTCAAGACATTCAGAGGAACCAGAGGCGCATGTACTTTGTCGGCATAAATCTGGCATTTGTGACAAGTTCTGGAATGACGATGGCAATTAGTTTCCATGATCGACCAATAATAACCTGCTCTCAGAATTTTCTTGACCATCGTATGCCCACTGGAGTGAGTACCAAAGACTCCTTCATGCATATTTTACATAATCTTCTTAGCTTCCCTCTTGTTTACACAATGAAGCATAGTCGAATCGTGATTGTGCTTGTACAAAATATCGTTGCTCAGAAAGAACTTGGCAGAGAATCTTCGTAGAAATTTCTTATCATTAATAGATGCCTCCTCGTGGTACTTTTGAGCTTCAAGGTATCTTTTTACTTCGAGGTACCAAGGCTTTTCCTCTACTCCATCAGTATCGACTTCGTAGCAATGCGTCGATTCATCTAGTTTCTCGATAGTAATTCGAGGAGCTTCATTGTCCCATCTGACTTTGATCATAGATGACATGGTAGCTAAGGCGTCTGCCAAATGATTCTTTTCTCGTGGAATATGTTCGAAAGTGATTTCCTTAAAGTATAAAATTAATGTCAACACATGCTCTCGATAAGGAATGAGATTTGGATGTTTTGTATCTCATTCTCCCTTAATCTAACTGATCACTAGGGCTGAGTCCCCGTATACATTCAAGAACATTATTCTCATATCGATAGCAGCTTTGATACCCATTGTTGTACCCCAAAATTTTCCCTCCCTTTTTTTCCCAGGGTTTCTCAAATACTCAAAATGGCTCAGGATTTGATCAGATATATTCTCCTCCTAAGCATTGAGTCCACAACTAGGGTTTGGTATTTCTCAAGCAAGATTGAGTTTCCAAGAATTCAAGTGGTCTTCATGGTTCTTCATGTATTCTCAAAGACGCTCATGTCAATTTTCAAGCTTTGTATCGCAAGTTTGCTCAGTCAATGGTTCAGTTGACTGAAAATGAACTGCATTGACCCAAAAGTCGATCTTTTCAAGATCAAGTTCAAATGATTGTAACTTCTTCATCGTTAGATATTTTTGAGTGGTTCTTCTTGCGTATGACTCTCCTTGACGTCATCTCCAATTTCTCTTTACAAGTCAAGAGCCGATTATGTACGAAATATCATCAAAATCCGAATACTTTAGAGGTCACTTTCTGGATTTTGACCTAATCTCAAGTAACTGTTGCCTGACTTCCAAGAATCGTAATTTCCTCAATTTTTAAGATCTTGAGACGATTATTTTTGCACATTGTCATAAGCGATGCCATCAATAAGTTCTTTTCAAGAATCGAAGGAAAATTGTGTTTAGAAGGCCTTGAAAGTTATCAAATTGTCATAGGTCGTTTTCTTGATTTAGAATGTTTTTAACTTCTAATTTCAAATCATGCCATAATTGTTTTCTCAAGACTATGATTCTCACGTTGAGATTGTTCATGGAACAAGATGTTGAGTTCAGAGGTTCATGTTGAGTTCGAACAAGGTGTTGCTTATAATACAAGTCATCATGTTGAAAATCGATTTAGGATCTTGGTAAAAGTAATTTGAGGATTCATTTGAATAATGTTTTTGATTTCAATTTAAGTTAGAAAAGAATTAAACGATATCACAAGCTTCGTCCAAATTTTCTACGGTTCATTCGCATGAATTATTTTGAATTCAAGGTATCAGAGGACGAGTTCACCAAAATTTGCTCAAATTCATTCAAGCTTTAGAATGCAAACATGATAAAGTTATGCTTTGATTCATGGTTTCTCTAAAGTTACAATTCTCACAAACTAAATCAAATTGTCGAACCTAATTCAAAGTTCATGACTATTCATCTATTTTCCAGCACATCATTATTCAAATGCAAGACTTTTTCTTAAGTTGCATTACAATTCAAGATTTCATGTCATTCCTCATTCAAGGAGCAAGAGTACAATTCAAGACTTTTTCAAAGATTTCTTTTGGTCTTCAATTGGTTTTCATCAATAATTGCAAGGAAACTATAATGCTTGAACTTAAAAGAGGAAGAGTATAATTGATGCTAAGATATCTTAAGTTTAATTACAAGCACATTTCAAAATACTCAAAGTTTCATAATACTACAAATTTCAAAGCTACAAGTTTGATTTATCATGGATAATTTGTTCCAAAGTTTTGGCGAGTTCTACAAGGTTTCCTAAATCCTAATTTGTAAAGCTTTGATGTCTTCTTCAAGCTACCAAGTTCTTCATGCCAAGCTTCACCATTTCCCTTCAAGCCTATTGTCATACGGTGGGAGAACTGACTTGGGTGTTTTGCGTTTGATTGCAATTGTTACGGATAGCAAGAGTCACCATCGGCTTTTCTTTTATCCAATAAGGAAAGGGTGAAAAGAACAAGAAAGACCTTTTGAGATTCTCTTGAGTTCGGGGTAGATTATGAAAAGGGAAGGTGTTATCACCATTTTCATATGTAGTTATCTACAGGCTCTTAGTTGCTAGCTCACTTTGAA